CTTTGCCATCTTTTGGAGAGCTTTGGTCTCCGTGTGGGCAATTTAATCATCTGCTTTGGATTTGGTGTCTTGTTTTGACGATCCGCGGGTTTGATCTTTGGTTTGCCTTTGCCGCCTTTTGGAGAGTTTTGGTCTCCATGTGGGCGATTTGATCATGAGCTTTGGATTTCTTGTCTTCTTTGGACGATCCGCGGCTTTGATCTATGGTTTGGTTTTGCCGCCTTTTAAAGAGCTTTGGTCTCCGTGTGGGCAATTTAGTCATTTGCTTTGGATTTGGTGTCTTCTTTGGACGCTTTGATCTTTGGTTTGTCTTTTCCACCTTTTGAAGAGCTTCGGTCTCCGTGTGGACGATTTGATCATCGGCTTTGGATTTGATGTCTTCTTTAGACGATCCGAAGCTTTGATCTTTGCCTTGTCTTTTCCGCTTTTGGAGGACTTTGGTCTCCGTGTGGGCGATTTGATCATCGGCTTTGGACTTGTTGTCTTCGTTGGACGGTCCGAGCCTTTGATCTTTGATTTAGCTTTTCCGCTTTTGGAGGGCTTTGGTTTCCGTGTAGGCAGTTTGATCATCGGCTTTGGATTTGATGCCTTCTTTAGACGATCCGTGGCTTTGATTTTTGCTTTGGCTTTGCCGCATTTTTTAGAGCTTCGGTCTCCATGTGGGCGATTTGATCATTAGCTTTGGATTTGTTGTCTTCTTTAGACAATCGGATGCTTTGATCTTTGCTTTGGCTTTGCCGCTTTTGGAGGACTTTGTCTCCGTGTGGGCGATTTGATCCTCAGCTTTGAATTTAATGTCTTCTTTGAACGATCTGCAGCTTTGATTTTTGCTTTGTCTTTGCCGTTTGGAGGGCTTTGGTCTCTGTGTGGATGATTCGATCATCGGCTTTGGACTTGATGTCTTTTTTGGACGGTCCGAGGCTTTGATCTTTGATTTGGCTTTGCCACCTTTTGAAGAGCTTTGGTCTCCGTGTGGGCGATTTGATCGTCGGTTTTGGATTTGATGTTTTGTTTGGACAATCCACAGCTTTGATATTTGGTTTGGCTTTGCTACTGTTAGGAGGGTTTTGGTCTCCGTGTTGACGGTTTGATAATTGGTTTTGGATTTGATGTCTTCTTTGGACGATCCGCAGCTTTGATCTTTGATGAGGTGGATTTGGTGTTCCATAACGCTTTTGGTGGCATCTCCCTTTGACTTTTGGATCGAAGAGGGCCGAGTTGTTGCTTTGGTGAAGAACGCGATGAACACCTCGAAACTTTGGGATGAACTTTGGATGCTCTTCCTTGGCTTTGATGGACTCTTCAACGGATTTTGGAGCTTTGATTCTTGAAGAGGTGGATTTGGTGCTCCATCACACTTTTGGCGGCGTGTTCCTTTGACTTTTGGATCAAAGAGGGCCTAGTTGATGCTTTGTTGAAGAACGCGATGAACATCATGAAGCTTTGAGAGGAACTTTGAAGACCTTCCATTGGCTTTACGAATTCCTCAATTGCTTTGAGAGCTTTGGACCTTCCTCCGGCTTGGACATACGGCGAAGAACGTTAACTTCATCAATTCGTCAACCAATATTGGATCATTTGTCCAAATTAGTGACTTTCGATGAAGAACGCTTCGAATGACATGAAGAACAATACAGAGTGAGTTTAGAGACTTACACCTTTGTTTGAATCCTCGATGAAACTTCGGTGTGTCAAATGAACTGACCATGGCTCCTATTTATAAGGGAGGGGTTGCTTCGGCTTCCTTTTATAATGGTGCCACGTTGTGCGTTTTGATTGACCAATAGGAAGATTTTATAATCTTTCCATTTCCATCAGATGCTCTTTTCCATTCTTGACGGATTTGATTGTACACCTTCCTTTCTCGCCAAGATTTTTATATCATTGTGCTTTTTCGGAAGATATTAATTTATATACTTCCTTTATTGACAAGATTAATTTATTTTGCTGCCAAATTTATTATGGCTCTATTTATGCACGTAATATTTGTACGATATCTTCAATTTTAAGCAGATTTTTGCATTAGTAAAATTGCTTATAACTCCCATGTGGTTTCAAAATTCAGCGTAAAATCTCCCTATACTTTAAAAATTGTATGGTACCCCTGATACTTTAAAAAGCGTTGCATGAAACCCCACCACCATTAAACTTTCCTCATGTGATAAAAAGATGATTTCCTATCTATATGTTTTGCATGGTAAGGGGGTTTCATGTAATATTTTTTATAGTATAAGGGAACGTCATGCAATTTTTTAAAGTAAGGTGGGGATTTATGGTAAGTTTCGAAACCACAGAGTGGTTTCATACAACATTTTTTTAAGTATAAGGCAGCGTCATGCAGTTTTTAAAGTAGAAGAGAGATTTACGCTGAGTTTAGAAACCACAAGGGAGTTACGGACAATTTTGCCTTTTGCATTAATGATTGATATTTATTGTACAAAAATTAACATATGTGCATAATTAAATACTATATATTTATTTTATTGAAATTTTATTTTCATCCAAAATACATGATATTTAATTTAATTTTAGACATATATTTTTAGTGTCTACAACAATAATTATAAAATAATTAAAGTAATATATATCATTAATATAATTAATATTAATAAAATAAAACATATAAAATACAATTAATAAAGTAATTAAAAAATACATAAAGAAATGTATTTAATAATATAAATATAGTAAATCATAACATATTAGTTAAATATATTAGATAATAATAATAATAATAATAATAATACTAATAATAATAATAATAATAATAATAATAAAAAGAAAAAATAGTTTAGAATAAATTTACAAGTAAATATTATATATATTGTAGAACTATTTCTTTAACCCTCTAAAAAATGTGAATAATAGTGATAAACGTTCACTCAAACTTAGCTAAAGTATTTAGAAATATTCTAGAATCTTTCTGGAAGATTGTAGAATAATGAACCGGAACATTCTAGGTTCGTCTATAAAAGAACCTCGCTCTCTATAAAAAAAATCTTTCTAGAAGATTGCAGAACATGATGGACTTTTGTAACTCCTACCATATTCTAGGTTCCAGCAGAGTCCCTCTCATTTGTGTCATCTAAGCGTTTTGCAAATTTATACTTTTGTGGGTGTTTACCAAGTAGGAGAAAATACATATCCAGTCTTTGATTATAGTTTATTTTGTGATTAGAGTTTCTTTGATTGATTCTGATTCTATGGTACGTGGCTTTGGAGTTTGATTTATTTTGAGTTTTTCCATCTTCAAATTATTGTAATTTTTTTATATGTCATAGATATTAATTTGTTTGTTTGTTTTGGTTGAATTTTTTCATCTTTAGATTATTTTAACTTCTTTTTATATTTAATTAATTTTAATTTGTTTGTTTTGGTTGCTTTAATTGGATCAATGAGATTAGACAAGACGGGTCATTCATCGGAGGCTGATTCTAAAAAATATATATATTTTTATTGGAAAATAAAATGTGTATAAACTATTGTCCAACTATTTTTAATAATCTATCACATAGAAAATTTTGAATGAAATTATAGAAGGCACAATACACACAGAGAATAAATAAATAAAATAAAAAGAGTAAAATGCTTAATAAAATGTACCATGTGAGACCATTGTATTTGTTTTATTGGACTATTAAACAGTCCCACACACTGATTGTTATACTAATTATTTTGTTTATCCAACACATAAAAATATAAAACTCGTATAGTTCGTCAGTTGAAAGACCATTTACAAATACACTAAAAAATAAAATGTTAAATTGTCCATCCACAAGTTGTTATCCGAATTGTTTTTTATTTTGATCCAACACATAAAAAATAAAATGGACATAAATTGTCCCGGTAATTATTTTTACCAACCACATGTATTTTGTAAAACTACTTAGTACATTAGAAAATAAAATCTTGAACCACCTTACATACATATTGAGTCCGTTCACACATCGTTTACATATGAAATAATTTTTGGTATGCGGTACGAGAAACTATGTAAAAAAATATATAAATATAGTGTTATTTTAAGTTGAATGTTTGACTTTTTTATTTTTTGTAATGACTTTTTGATTTTTTTATTATAAATATTTAATTCATATTTTTTTTTAATTTCTGATTTATGTATAAAATATTTTATATATTTTTATTATTATTTTTTAAGAATTGAAATTAAAAAATAATATTGAAACAACAAAAAAAAACAGACACATCAATCATATTAAACTTGAATTATATATATGTATATATATATGAACAAAGTGTATAAATAAGCAATAAAATACATGACAATTTGACAAAAATAGAGTAAAGAGGGAATTGAACAAAAATAGAGAGACCTCAATCAAGTTTGTGTATTGTTTGATGCGTCTCTATTTCGGTGATCAATTTCCTTCCAACTTTTTATTATTCAACTAAACTTTTGTTTCTAAAAATATTAAATTAAATATATGTTTTTATGTTTTATATTATACTTAAATTATGTATACATTAAGTCATTAAGGGTGTACTTGTTTGAGGATTTGAATTTGTATTTAAAATTTGAAATAATAAAATTTTAAATTTGAATAGGTGCATGATGTTAATATAAATTAGATATAGATATGATGTTTTAATATAAAATTAATACTATAATATAAAAATAGATAAATATTATAAATTTGATAAAATTTTCTACGAAAACACACACAATAAAAAAAACACATCAATTACATAATACAATTATTTCTATTACAAAATTTTATTATTCAAAAATAAATTTTAAAATTCAATTTCAAATTACATCCATTTAAATTTGATATTAAAATAATGTATCATAACATATTTTTTAAAAGAAAAAAGTCGAAAATTTAAAATCCAAATAGTAGAAATAAGAGTTTGAGCCCAAATCTAACCCCCTATTTTAAGTCCAAGCCGAAATATCAGTAACCCTAACCCAAACCCAGTAACCTAAAACCTAATTCCCAATTTCCCATCTTCCTCTCCTCCTTCCTCTATTGGACCCTCACTCCTCATCTTCTTCTTCCCCCTCTTTCCCCTTGTATTGTGTTTCTTGTAACGGATTCGGAACGAGGAGCCCGACCCGGATCCAACTCGGCCGTTTTGCCAACCACATCGGTTGCTTGTGTGTTCTTTATGGGGCGTTCGGTGACTGAGCTGCATGGTGCAAGTAAAGATTTTTTTTTTTCCTTTGAATTAACCTTGATTGATCGTGTTTTGTGTCAGATGGATAATAATACCTGTACATGTTTGAATCGTAATGCGATAGATTGATGTGATACTTTGTTTGGCATGTGTGAGAAACGGAGCAATCGGTAAAATGCAACCTAGAAATGGTGAAGTAACCTGAAATTTATTGATTTGAACAGTCTCAAGATTTGGTTGGACTGTGTGTGCGACGGCATTGCCTTTTGTTTGTCTTGAAGCATGTTGTGAGTGTGACTTGAACCTGTAGGTTATTTTTTAACTCTAATTTGTCGTTATGCATTAGAGTTGCAGAAATTGAGTCGGTATCTAGGAGTATATTTGGACTGAATTCTTGGAGAATCAGAAAGGTCATTTTCAAGTTAATCTTGAATAGTTTTACATTGCTATATTCTTAAATGCTGGCATACCATAAAGTATATTGTTACTTGTGAGTGATGAAGGTTACACGTAGATCAATCATTGATTAAGACATGACGGTTGCATGAATGATTTGGAGAATTTCGATTGCAACATTTGTGATTGCAACTTTTATATTAGCGAGTTCATTTTCTCCGCATAAAAATCCAATGGATAATCTATTACAAAATCTTGTGTGAAGCCAAAGCCATATGATTTTCAATAAAGTTTCTTGCGTGGTAGTATTCCTATAGATTACTGGTTGAGTCTAAGATGATAAGTAGCTACCTAGTGTGGAAACATAAACTACCTAGTGTGGCAAGTCCCGACATTTAGTCGGTTATTGATATCATGCTATGACTTTAATATGCTTGGTGAAGCTTTTATTACTTATTCAGTTTTATCTGTGAAACAATTTCTCTAAATTCTCTTTGTTTGCTCCATATTTATGCTTGACGTTTGGAAGTGTCATGCATGCGGCAAATGACCCGGGATCTTGTGGCAGCATGCAAGTTTCAGAGTATTAACAAACCATGCCCTATTATGTATTGTCAGAAGTGTCTCTTGAACAGGTTATCTTTATCATCTTTTCGTTATGATGATTTTGAATTCAACACGTCATTGAATACTTGGACAATCTAATTTTATTGTGACGATTTCATCCAAGTTAGATATTGCGAGACGGCTGAAGAAGTAGCTAGTTTGGAGCAATGGACTTGCCCCGAATGCAGGGGCAGCTTTGGCATGTGAGTCTTCTGAATTATTACTGAATGACTTTGCAGCATTTTTCTGATGGTGTAATTATGCATTGATAGGAAAAAGGAGGTGACAAACCCGCTGGTATTCTCACCAATGAAGCAAAAGCTAGAAGATTTTCCTCTGTATCTGAAATGCTACTTAGAACGACACCCTGCAACCAAATTTGCTGCAAAGAAAGGTAGCTTCTTCGAATTGTATGCATGATTTCCTATTTTTCACATGGACTGCCACGTGCGCTAAAAGTTATTTCTCTTGTTAATGACGTGGCATAGTCCTTCAAAAACGCATGCCTTCTTAAAGCGCGATTTTAAATTTTGAAATAAGAATTTACCTCTTTCGCTTTATTCACCATTATCAGGGTATTTATATATCCAAAAGGGTAAACTCATTTATAAATCACACATACGGAGACCCTGAAACCCTAGCCATACGAAGTATCCGGCGGCGCCGCGCATCCTTCATTGACCTTCCGTCAGCAACCCTCGTGTTCTCTGTTGATTGGCTTTGGCTTCTCTGAGATCAACACTCCGCATTCCTTCCAGGCACCCCAGTAGCAGAAATGGAATCAGTTATATTCTTTTTATTATATGAAATAGGTTTTGGAATTTGGATGATGTTTTGTAGAAACTAAGAATTCAGATGCTGTAAGAACCGAGCCATTAGTGGTTGGATCTGGTGGCCATGTGTACTGGAAATCAAACTGTTTGCGTTTTTTCCGGAACCAAGACATATAAGCATAATGCGGATGCATTATAAATGAATGGCTGCATTACTTACTTTAATTGTCATGCTAGTTTATTATTAACGCAATATTATTTCATGTGTGTGGAGAGTATCATTCCTTGAAATGTTAGCAGTGTTTTCATAGAGCAGTAAGACAGAAAACGCATCAGCACTGTGTCTTGACGGCCCTGGTTGATGTCAACATACGGTAATCAATAACAATTATTATGTCTTTGGTGTTGGTTTGTTAATATCATATTTTAACACATTTGGTATTCATAATTCAAATCACCCTTGCAAAAGCTCATCATTTTGAAATAAGTCTTTGCCTTGGTAGTGTGATAAAAGATATCCGGAAGGGTAATTTTCCATTGAAACCTGCTAATTAGAGATAGTTCGATAATCGAATGGTTAATGAAAATAATAAATAGTCATGACTTCGATTTTTATCATACTGTGAGTTGTTGTGTTTGACTCTAATATAGATTAGAAGGCAACTGGTTATGATTTCTCTGCTTCCATTGTCTGCAGTAGAGATTGCTGTTAGCAGACCGAGTCAGGACAGCAACGAGAGGCAGCCAGTATTCGACGTGCCCTATGTCTATCGATACCAGAGGATACAGGCCCAACTGCCCCATGATCTAGGGAATCTTGTACAGGTACCGGAACAGGAATGATCTCATGATTATGTACGTCTGCCATGGGATGTTTCGTGAAGCATGGCAGTGGTGGCGAGGTCGCGCAGCTTCTGAAGCAATGTATAGCAATGTTCATAATTGAGTAGTTCGTTAAAAAAACTCTATATTATATTCAAAACTCAATTTAAGCTCCTTCAAACTTTTATTTCATTATATAACTTTTGTGCAGTGGAATTAAAAATAATTTGTGTTATAGTATAATAATCTTTTATTATTACTATTTTTAAATAAGGTTTTAGAAGACAGAAAATAGGTTTATTGTATATGAGATGAGATCCTCAGCCCTGATAATTCAGCCCCTCCAACCATATCAATTAAATAGATTTAGTAAATTTAAATTTAAATTTGATTTTATTTAGATTACTTAGATTTAGTCTGCCTATATAGGCCCTTATTTTTTATGATCATAAATACAATCTCATTATTTTTTTTTTATATTTAACTATTTTTATCTGTTATTAATTTATAGTAGTTTGTTCCTTTCTGCATCTGAACATATATATGTGTATATATACATTTTATTTTCCTTTTCAAAAATGTGACGATGCATCTAGATCAACAACGAGATTTGTTTGTTTGTAGAATTATGGGTCATATCGTTGGAACTTATCAGAAATTAAAAGATTCGTTGTGTCTAACCCGATTCCATTAGTGCTGTCGGATTCAAATCTACAAATTAATAGAGGGTTTTGAGTTCTTCAGGTCTGTGGCGCAACCCTTCTTGAGAAAACCCCTAGGGTTTCTGCGGTTACTTCCACGATGAGATATGAAAAGTAATGGATGTTGCGCTAGACCTGGGATCACAACCCTAATATATATATCCATTATTATTAATCGGCTTCATTACACAATTAACAAGTTACCGAGTTTCTGCACATAAGAGGCCTGTACTTACTAAATATATTTAAGCCCAATAAATTTAATAGATCAATTAATATAGGCTAGTCCAAATAGTTAAATTTAACCCACAAGCGGATTTTTAATCTAACAATCTCCCACTTGGGTAAATTTATATTGAATAACCTTATGAGCTCGTGAAAAATTAGCTATCATATCCTTTTTAACATATTTTGCCAACCTTATACGTATATCACATCAATGCGGATCAAAGTGGTCATCACTCCATTTATTGCAATGGGACTGATCAGTGGTCACAACACTAATATAACCTAAGTTTTGATCAAGTGTGGATGCACAACATGAAAATGTCATGTAATATGATCTTAACGTACCTATATCTAACTGATCCATTTAACTTTAATTCTAAGATTTGATCAAGTGGGATGCACAACAATGTCATGTAATGTGATCTTAACATGTCTATTTCTAACTGATCCATTTAACTTTAATTAACTGAATACTGAATTAAAACTAAATATTGAACAATGCATACCGAATATTGTAGTATAAAATTAAATAACTTTAATAGTATTTGAACACTACTAATTAGCTCTCACTAATAGCGAAATATGGTTTCACTCTCAAACGAGCAACATGCTCACTATAGAACTTAGGTGGCAATTGTTCATAAAATTAAACCCTAAACTCTAAACCCTGAAAGTAAACACCAACTGAATGCTAATGAATGAAGAAAACCTGATAGCAAGTCTTTCAATTGACGGGATCATAAATCTGACTCCCCACCCTCCTAATCTCGGGCGCAGTGTTCTGCTGCCTAGGTGGTGGAACAACACTGCCCTCTCCCGCCGCCATTGAGGTGGCCATTTTTTCCGACTGAGGGAGATTTAGAGAAGTATGAGATGAGACAATGATGGTTGATCAAAACGATGATGCTGCTGGTCTGAATAAGTTCTATTTATATAGGAAAATAAAAATAATGTTGTTACCATGTATAAATTTTATGTAACACAAACAGATATTATTCGTAATATTCTTTTTACGTGTTTTAATGCATCAATTCAAATAATATATTTATATCTTTACTTAACTCATGTATCCAATTGTACTCACCAATTATACCAATATAATAATTTTATATTTGAAATAATATATTTCTATTTTCACTTAACAGAGAAAAGAAAAAAAAAACAAAAAACAAAACAAGTTTCTAATTGTATTTACCAATTACATCAAATAATAATTTTAAATTTTGAAATAATATATTAAACTGCCGACAAAATATGATTAGAATAAGTGTGAAAAATACTACACATACTTATTATTTTTATATTACTTACACAACTTCATATACTTCACGATAAAAAATATATATTTTCAAACTATTTCACTAAACAAACCACACTATTACTACATAAACAGTTATATTTACCAATTACTTCAAAAATTAAATTTAAGTTGTATTTGATGTAATATATTTATATTTTTACCTAATTCATATATCTAGTTGTACTTACCAATTATATCCAAATAATAATTTTATATTTGGATAATATATTTTTTCACTAAATACACAAAAATAAAAAATAAAAAATAAAAATTTTTTAATTGTATTTACCAATTGCATCAAAATAATGGCTTGAAATTTTGAAATAATATATTAAAGGGCCTTCAAAATATTACAAATATAATATATGTTTGTATTACATAATATTTATACATAGTAATAAATATGATGACTATCCTAATTATATCAATTTTTATGTTGCACATCTGCTCCTGCTCATGTGCGTTTCTGCCCTAGCCGTTCTCTCCTGCCAAATAGGCGTGTCTTTTTTTCTTCTTATTTGATTTTTTCCCTAATTATTTTGTAGATGGGCTTTTGGGCATTTAATTAATTTTATTTCCTTTTTTCTGCCAATTATACCAAATTTAATATTTGCCCTCTGCACACAGCAAATAAACAATTCGCATATAAATTAGGTAGAATCCAATCAAAATAACTCAAATATCGCATATGATATGAATATAAAACGCATGCGATATCTAACTATCAATTCTCCCCACACCTAGATCATGCTTGCCCTCAAGCATAAATTCGAAATAAGCCAAAGAAATCGCAGACAACTCGATATGACAAGAGGATCCAACACAACCAATTTAATCCGAATTTTAACACATCAAGCCAAGTCAACCTCACAAGATAAAGTATATTCTTACATGCTCTCTGAAGGCATTAAGTGTATAATTGGCTCAACACTCAGGTAGTGCAACAAAAGATTATCCTATAGGCTTGAGTAAAAATCAAATCTCCCTTACTTAAGATATTCGAATCTAGCATAAAGAATCAAAGGGACTTTCAATAAGGGTTGTAACGGGGCTTACGGTCAGGGTAGGAAAAAGGATATACAAGGGCTAAAATATGTCAGAAAAGAATACAATAAGAACACGATGCTAGCATATGAAAAACAAATCGGCATAAACAATGAAATCCTAATTTTATTCACTGCCGAAACTTCAATAATATAATTAAATAGAAATACTTCAAGATGATTATTTTAGTATTTATTTAGTATTTATTATATATATTCTTTTTTTTCTTTTTTTTTTAATTTTTCTTTTTTATTTTTTTTCTTTTTTCTTTTTTCTTTTTTTTTATTTTTTATTTTTTATATTTTTTTGGCTTTTGCCTTTTTATATGTATATAAATATACCTACACTACCCACAGTTATTCCTTCATACTATGGCTTATTCGTACCCAAAGTTCGTTTCTAACTAATGCCGAGGAAATAAAGTGCATCACATCATGGACTTAAAGTAATTCTTTCTAACATAGGGTTCAAATCGGAGAAGGTTCAATCAAAAGAAGGGTATGAGGCTAAAAAATAGTTTATTATAAAAGAAAAAAAAAATAGGCTAAGAAGGCTCAAATGGGCTAATTAGGGGAATATATTGTGCTGGGTAATAAAGAAAGGTTTAATGGGTTACCTAATACCCTTATCATTTTCAAAACGCAAGACTCGATAGTTGCAAGTTCAACATGCATAATCACTCAAGTTCTAGGTCATCTAATTGAGCACTACAAATCACACATGAAAGAAATTTCCAAAAGCTTGAATATATGCAATTTATTTTATAATGTGACTTTTGGAACATAGGCTCAAATTCTCACAGGGTTCAAACGTCGACTTGACTCAACATATCACCAATCAAATGTCATTAGGCATGCCAAACTAACCTATCACACAAATCACCTTTGACTCACTTCAAACTAATTTCAAAAACATGCGAAAAGACAGCAAATCAGGCATAAAAATAGCACAAAATGAAAATTTTGCCCAAAAATTTGCATAACTCTCCCCACACCTAAAGTATGCATTGTCCTCAATGTAAATAAAGCAATAAAAGAAGAGAGGAACTTCCCTGGAGTCCATAGGGGGTGTAGTAGTTGGGAGCTTTGTTAACACCTCTTCATTTGATCGTGATTTTTAGGGAGGCTTGAAGTTCTCCTGAGTCCTGCGAAAACAACTAACCAACGCAAGCCATTTAGAGGAGTGGATGTGGTAATCGGCGATGACTGAGCAGGGGAGGAAGAAGTCGACGGCGCCGGAGGTTGGAGGCGGCGACTAAACCAAACAAAACTATCAAAAGTATTATTAGCAATTAAATAATAAAAATAAATAAAATTAAAGAAAGCAATTAAATGATTTGGGTTGTCTCCCAAAAAGCGCTTTTCTTTATAGTCTTTGAGCTAGACTTCGCCTCGCATCAATTCTGAACATCGAAATCGGCAACGGGTGCCGACTTTATAGGATCGAGTGAGGGTCCCTCGTGGTATAATTTTGAAGCGATGTCTATTGGCCACACACTTTTTCTTCGGCTTAGAATTTTGATTCTCCTTATGACATTTTTTCGCTGCCAGCAATGGTGATCCCTTGGGAATCCATCTCCACTTTTCGACAGTCTTTTTTCTTTTTTTACTCTCTCCAGTTGGTCTTTTCTCTAACTGTTTTGTCAACACAGTTCTTCGTTTATTCTCATTACCAACTTCACAAGTTTCCTGCACCACATAATTAATAACATTAATTGCATATAACGATTCAGATTCAACAGGACATTTGACGGGATTAAAAATATTGAAATGAAATTCTTCTCCATCAAACTCCAAGCTGAGTGTGCCCTTTTTAACATCTATCTTTGTTCCTGCAGTGCACATAAAAAGTCTTCCTAACAAAAGAGGCGGTGGATTAAAACAATGTGCATCATGCATATCCAGAATATAAAAATCAACAGGAAAAAT